TTTTTACAGCCGTGGCCTATACAGAAGAACCTGAGAAGGGACCCGAGAAGGGACACTCACTGCCTGTTCTTACAGATCTCAGGTCTGTGTGTATGTAAAATGTTGATTGCATTATATAGAAACAAAATAAAAAAGCGTGAATGAACACATTTCTGAATTGAATTTGTAGCACAGACCAAAGGATGTGAAAACACACAAACATTACATGTCCTGGTGGTATATTATAATTCCATATATAGATATTAAAATCGCTTCATACACATCTGAGCATTTTTATATAATAACTCTGTGTTTACCCGTACCCACCGATGTGTCGCCTTTTAACTAAGCCTAACATGTACATTTATTGCTGTCCCCCCCCCCAAGGGCCTGCAAACACAAGAACTAAAGGAAAGCTCTTACATCATGTCCAAAGTGCTCCCCAGTGTGAAAACACTCAACTAACTATATCTATAGATATATAGCTATAATATATATATGTATATATACACACACACACACACACACTATTCTTGTATTTTTGTATCATTATTGTATAATAATTGTATTTAAATAATAATGTATCCGTATAAAACACTTATTCTGAATTTATTGCAGCAAGGAATATCACTCTTGAAAGTCATAAGAACCCCTTTAGAAGGATAAGCAATAAAAGTAGTCGTTGATCTCTTACCACCAAATAGGGTAACCAGCCAAGACGGGGATAGCAGTGAAAAACCACAGGAAGTGCAGAATGTGGAGCCTGCCCATGGGGGGAGAGCAGTATGTGTTGGGAGAGTCAGGAGACCTTGCTGGAGAAGTAGGGGGCATCCCATGAGAAGCTCGGTTTGTCCTCTTGCTGACTGTCTATTTGGGGGGGGACAGGAGGTTCTGGCTACTTTATACCCTGTCTGCTGATCGTGACAAGGAGAGGGAAGCTAGATGTCACCAGACAACCAATCCCAGAACCATGAGACAAGGTAAGAGAATCCTCCCTACAGGGAGCAGTCAATCAAAGTGCCCCCTCCTTCTCCAACAATACTCCTTTATCCAGCCTCCTACTTATCTCTCCTCTATGCCCTTTCATGTCTCCAAATCTCATTCTGTCACATGTTTCAGGCTAAAGTCAGTGCAAAGAGCAACAGTAATGAGAAACAAATGCCATAACCTATAGCAGCCATCACACGTATAAAAAGTTGACAACTTTTTCAATAATCGATTATAATCAATTATGTCGATTAGTTGTTGCAGCCCTAAACCTTTCATAGACTCTGTATAAGTTTTCACACACTTGTTTATGTGATGCAATAACTGGGTCCTACAGATCACATCGTCCCCTTGCTGGGTGCACTCGGCCGTCCAATGTACCCTATGTGAAATTTCTCATATAGCTTGTACAGCTCTGCTAAGTTACCGGACCTTTGCAATGATTATGAGTCTTGTATAACCTGGAAAGCATGAGGATCTGCAACATTTCCAAAAAAGATCAAAATTCCGTTCCACTATGGCTCTTGCTTCTGTGCCATAATGAGGGTCACAGGTACATAGTGCCCGGGCTAAACATAACCCCAATCCAGGCATTTTTTCCCAATGTTTTGGATAGAGGGGGGATAGTTTAGACCCCATCAGGTTTATATTGTTGTCCATGTACCCATTAGAGAGATTTTCCCTTCCTTCCTGTCCCCCTTCACAATGAGAAGCAAAGGAAAATCTACTTACTGAAATCTAGTCACCTCATGAAGGGGACCCTGCGGGGAACATTAAATGTTGCTTCTACAGGTGACCTTATAATAAAGGGACATTTTAGTGTGCTGGTGATGTGCAATCTATTGTTCAAAGTGCTAGGACTTCAATTTTCTATTAATTTGAAATTAAAATAAAAACATCAACTTTTTTTCAGCACAGTGGATAAGCAGAGGCTTAACTACCGCAAAGCAAACAAGGCATTTGCCATGGGCGGCACTTTCTGGGGGGGGGGGGGGGACCGCACCAGAAAG